CAACAGAACAAGAATGTCTCAAAAAAAGAAGAAGAAAAAAAATCAATTGGACTTAAAGCAAACTCATTCAAGAACATTTGCATGTAAGTATACTAGTTTTGCCTGTAGCAACCCCCTTTTATAGCTTTAAACCAACAATGCAATACAGTAATAAAACTTTGAGACTGTTTTCCTTTTGTATTTTTCTCTCTGAATTTTTTATATTTTCTTTTTATGAAGATAATCAATTAAAAAATAAGCATAGGATGAACGGACCTTCTTTTAGTTAGACACTCAACTTTTACTTCACAGGGGTCAGTAATTAAATACAGTATGTTACTTTAAAAATCTCACACCGGGTGTGGTGGCTCACGCCTGTAATCCCAGCACTTTGGGAGGACGAGGCAGGCGGATCACGAGGTCAGGAGATCGAGACCACCCTGGCTAACATGGTGAAACCCCGTCTCTACTAAAAATACAAAAAAATTAGCCAGGCGTGGTGGCGGGCGCCTGTAGTCCCAGCTTCTCAGGAGGCTGAGGCAGGAGAATGGCGTGAACCCGGGAGGTGTAGCTTGCCGTGAGCCAAGATCACGCCACTGCACTCCAGCCTGGGAAACAGAGCAAGATTCCGTCTCAAAAAAAAAAAACCCAAAAAAACTCACACCTGCAAAGAAATCAGTATATGTGTTATTCTGTCCCCTGTAAATGAATTCCTGAAGTACAAACATAGGGAAAATATACCATCTGGCCTTTACAATTCTTCATTTACCTCCTGAACTGTCTCCATAGGCGGTGGGGGATCCTTATTCCTGCAGAGATTGACAATGACCCATGTGACGTTCCGAAGGAAGGTGATGGGAATGGAGGGATTGATGAAGGACAGAAGAGGTTTGACAACTCCCAGTGATATGACATAATCTCTACATTGAGGACCATCACCTACAGAAATGAAAATTGTATTTAAAAAAAACTTACATTCAGGATGAGAAAGTCTGAAATGTATGCAATGGCTCATGTGGGAACACTGACGTTCTATGTTTCCTCACCATTAGTCAAAGGCATCAAATGTTGTTTCTCCAGGTTTTGATTTGGGGAACATAAATTTAACCTACCAATGCTAAGAGCAAATTGTATATCCTTTTCAAAGAGTATCATCTTAAGTTAGTACTTATGAAGCAAGAAGAGAGTCAACCCACATTAAATTCAGAGGAAACATAGTATGTAATGGCTATGCCAATGTAGGAAAAAAGTTAATTTAGATCTTAACAGGATTCCTTTCAAACCACTTACCTATAATGTTTCCCAAAGCCCATACTGCTTGTTCACAAACATTCTGATGTGGTGAATGAAGAAGTCTCAGAAAAAGAGGTACTGCATCTGTAATAAAGAAGAACTAATATTTATACTAGCAACATGTTGAAGAGTTTATAGATTTCAGCTCAAAGAAACTGATCAAATACAGAGCCCGGCATATTGTAGCTGCCCAATTATAGTTTGCTGGAAGAACAAATGTGGCAAATATCTTTACCCTAAAAATAATCAATTTCAGTATTTTCCCCTAGTAATATTTAAGTAGTTTTTTTTTTTTTTTTGCTGTATCTGTGTATTACTCCTGGGTTCACGTCATTCTGCCGCCTCAGTCTCCCAAGCAGCTGGGACTACAGGCGCCCGACACCACGTCAGGCTAATTTTGTTTTCGTAGTTTTAGTAGAGACAGGGTTTCACTGTGTTAGCAAGGATGGTCTCGATCTCCTAAGCTCGTGATCCACCCGCCTCGGCCTCCCAAAGTGCTGGGATTACAGGGGTGAGCCATGGCGCCCGGCCTTTGTTTGTTTTTGAGACAGGGTCTTACTCTGTCGCCTAGGCTGGAATGCAGTGTGCAATCTCGGCTCACAGAAACCTCTGCCTCCTGGGCTCAAGCGAACCTCTCGCCTCTGTCTCCTGAATAGCTGGGGCTATAGGCACGCGCCACCATGCAAAGCTAATTTTTTAATATTTTGTAGAGACACGATTTTGTCATGTCACCTAGGCTGTTCTTGAACTCCTGAACTCAAGTGATCTGCTTGCCTTAGCTTCCCAAAGTGCTGGGAGTAGAGGCATGAGCCATCTGTGGGTCTGGTGAGAATGGTATTCTCAATACATGATTCAATGTAACTTAGTGCCATATCACATGCTACTTAAAATCACCTTGATTACCACACCTAAAGTTAGCTAAGTGTCCCATACTATAAGAAACAACATACGTGGTGATATCTAGTACTTTTCTAAAGAGCTTGGGTCAGTTTCATTTAACAATAATTATTAGCCCACCTTGAGGAAAGTAAAATTTAAAATGTCATAAGCTAAAAGGCAGAAGCCATTCAGCATCCTGAAAATATCAGAAATGGAAATTTAAAATCCTGTTATCACAGCATGATGTCTACTCCAAAAGATAAAACTCTACTCTTCTTTTAGTAACCACAATTAAAATTTTTTCATGATAGATTAATAATGGCTATGAAAAAGATATTGGTCATCAAAAGTAACTTACAAAAGTCATCATTTAAAAAATATTACAAGATAAAATTACAAAATTCTACTTCCTTGCCATCATTAAAAAATAAAAAGTTCAGACAATAAGGAATTTACTTACTAGACTGCACAACAGCTTGAGTCTGTGCAGAAGTTCCTGATGCTATGTTAGTTAATGCCCAAGCAGCTTCAAACTGTAATGAAGGACTGTAAAAAAAAACAGTAAAACATCTTTTTAGACACTACCACTTAAATTCATGACTCTTAAGACTGATATGATATGGCTATCCTTTGCCTTGTCCTTGAATTTCACCTTGTTATAATCCAACTGCCTGCTAGCCATCTCTACTTTTGTTTTTGTTTTTTTGAGATGGAGTCTCGCTCTGTCACCCAGGCGGGAGATGCAGTGGCACATCTTGGCTCATTGCAATCTCCGCCTCTGGGGTTCAAGCAATTCTCGTCTCAGCCTCCCAAGTAGCTGGGATTAAGGTGCACACCATCACACCTGGCTCATTTTTGTACTTTTAGTAGAGATAGGGTTTCACTATGTTGGCCAGGCTGGTCCTGAATCCCTGATTTCAGGTGATCTGCCCACCTTGGCTTCCCAAAGTGCTGGGATTATAGGCAAGTGCCACTGCACCCAGCAGCCATTTCTACTTTAAAAATCTCTTTGACCTCCAAAGCCAGTCACTATGAACCTGCTTCTTTATGTCTACTGGTATTATAACATTCAGCCAGTCATTATTTCCCTTGACTTTGACTTCCTCTCCAGACACATCTAATCAATATATCATGTCAATTTTACCTCTTAAACATTTCTTACATTTATATAATCACCCCTAATATCAAGTGCTAGTTGAGGCCCTAATCATCTCACTTTAACCACCATCACAGGCTCTAGGCTGGTCTTAAAGCTAGAACCCCATCTGTCTCCATTACACCATCTGCTTTACATACTAGGGATATTACAAGGCTGTATAATTTTGTTGAAAAAACAAGATCACTCTATTTTTGAATAGTGATGGAAGACCTCACAAAGAAAGTGGCAACTGAACTGGCTTCTCAAAGATGCGTTTAAAAAGAAAGGCAGTGACAGCTGGAAATAAAAAAGGTATCATGCATGGAAGGATCATGATGTGTAGGAATGATAAGGATTAGATCAAGAGAGCTGAAACTAACTAAGAAGCAAATAACAGGGTGTTTGTGCATGTGTGTGTGTGTTTTAGGATGGGAGTGAGGAGTGTATTCCACAGATACGCTAAGGATGGGGCATTGCAAAGGGGAGGAAAGAAAATAATGTTCAAATAAATAGTATGCAGAATAGCTTAAAAAGGTTAAAGGCTGATGTAGGAGAGGCCTATTAAAAGACATATTGGGGTTTACACCTGTAGTCACAGTACTTTGGGAGGCTGAGGTGGGTGGATCGTTTGAGCCCAGGAGTTCGAAACCAGCCTGGGCAACACAGTGAGACCCCATCTTTACAAAAAATAAAAAATCAGCCAGATGTGGGTACACACCTGTAGTCCCAGCTACCTGGGAGGCTGGGCAGGGAAGGGGGGTGGGGAATTGCTTGAGCCTAGGAGTTTGAGGCTTCAATGAGCTGTGATTGTGTCACTGCACTTCAGTCTGGGTGACAGAGTGAAACCCTGTCTCAAAAAAGACATGAAGGAAAGACCTGTTAAAAGGAAATTATTGATATTAAGTTAAGATAGCTGAAAGAGTATAAATTCCCTTAAGTGGAATACCAAGGTTGGGGGGATTCAGTCAGCAAAAATTGAGATTAGACAAAGGTTAGGGAGTTCGAAGAAAAGTCTATAAACAGGGAAGAGAGCAAGCAAGGTTGTTAGTATCAAAAGGTTAAAGAAGTCCGGGCACGGTGGTTCACTCCTGTAATCCCAGCACTTTGGGAGGCCAAGGCGGGTGGATCACCTGAGGTTGGGAGTTCGAAACCAGCTTGGCCAACACAGCAAAAACCGTCTCTACTAAAAATACAAAAATTAGCTGGATGTGATGGTGCATGCCTATAATCCCAGCTGCTCAGAAGGCTGAGGCAGGAGAATCCCGTGAATCTGGGAGGCGGAGGTTGCAGTGAGCCGAGATTGTGCCATTGCACTCCAGTCTCGGCGACAGAGCGAGATTCTATCTCAAAAAAAAAAAAAAAAAAAAAAAGGTTAGAGATCCAAGAACGAAAGGTTTTAAGAAGAATAAATGTCAGACATACAGCAAACAGTGAGGATGGAATATATATACAGGTTAAAAAGATGGAACATATGAGAAAATGAAGTAGCAGAGAAGAACTATGAGGTGACTTTTAAAAGTTCATTAAAAATGTGTATTATGAAAAAACTCCATGGATTTCAATTTTTTTTGCACCAAAATAAACTTATACTAACTTCCTATATATGTCTGAACATGATCTAGTTTGAGGCACTAAGAGGGGTAAGGGGTAAGACATCAATTTGAAATGAGCCCCTAGGAGAAGAGCAACAGGAATCCTGCTAAAATTAAAGCAAAAACAAATATCAAATTTATGGTGAAGCTTGGGTGAAATAATGGTGAATTCACTGATGTACTTAAAAGTTTATGGGGAAAATGCCCCCAAAGAAATCAACAGTTTACAAATGGTTAACTCCTTTCAACAAGGGACAAGTCGATGTTGAAGATGAAGTCCACAGTGGCAAACAACATCAATATCTGAGGAAAAAATTAATCTTGGTCATGCCCTAATAGAGGATGATTGTTGATTAACAGCAGAAACAATTGCCAGTACCACAGACACCTTGATTGGTTCAGCTCACAGAATTATGACTGAAAAATTAAAGTAGAGCAAACTTTCCCCTTGATAGGTGTCAAAACCATTGTGCCCAGATAAGCTGTAGACAACAGCAGAGCATTCAATAAAAATTTTAAACCAGTGGGATCAAGGTCCTGAAGTATTTCTTCAAGGAATTGTAAGAGGAGATGAAACATGGCTTTCCCAGTATGATCCTGAAGACAAAGTAAAATCAAAGCAGGCCAGGCGCGGTGGCTTACGCCTGTAATCCCAGCACTTCGGGAGGCCGAGGCGGGCGGATCACGAGGTCAGGAGATCGAGACCATCCTGGCTAACACAGTGAAACTCCGTCTCTATCAAAAATACAAAAAATTAGCCGGGTGTGGTGGCGGGCGCCTGTAGTCCCAGCTACTCGGGAGGCTGAGGCAGAAGAATGGCCTGAACCCGGGACGCAGAGCTTACAGTGAGCCGAGATCGCGTCACTGTACTCCAGCCTGGGTGACAGAGCGAGACTCCGTCTCAAAAAAAAAAAAAAAAAAAAAAATGAAGCAAAAGTGGACTGGTCAGGAGGAAAGCTAATGACTAAAAAGTTTTTGGGGATGCTCAAGGTATTATTCTTGTTGAGCTTCTAGAGGGTCAAAGAATGATAACATCTGCTTATTACGAGAGTGTTTTGAGAAAGTCAGCCAAAGCTTTAGCAGAAAAAAGCCTGGGAGAGCTTTACTAGAGAGTCTTTCTCCACCACAATGTTTCTGCTCATTCTTCTCATCAAACAAGAGCAATTTTGCAAGAGAATCAATAGGAAATCATTAGGTATGCACCTTACAGTTCTGATTTGGCATCTTGTGACTTCTTTTTGTTTCCTAATCTTAAAAAAACAAACTGTAAAGGCCATCTAGTTTTCTTCAGTTAATATCATGAAAAAGACTGCGCTGACATGGTTAAATTCCCAGGACCCTCAGTTCTTTAAGGATAGACAATGGCTGGTAGTATCACTTACAAAAGTGTCTTGACTTTGATGGAGCTTATGTTGAGAAATCAAGTTTATATATTTTGTTATCTTTTGATTCCACTTTTCCACAAACTTTTAAAATTTCCCCTGTACATGAATTCTAGCAGAAGGTAGGAAATAAGATGGTATATCAGAGGCAGAGAAGAAGTAAAAAAACCAGTAAGACCAAAAATAGTAAGATAGTATATGTTGCCTCAGACTGGAAGGAGAAAGTTAGTAAGCTGGTTAGGTGGTTTGGCAAAATACTGGGAATGAGGGACTCAAATGAGAAAATGGATAAATGTAAAAAATAAAATTATAAAGCCAGAGAAAGTCTTCCAAGATGTCATGTGGAAAAAAAGAAATAGAAAAAATGAATGAGTGCAATAACAAATGGACATTTATTATAAGCCTGACATTGTGCAGAGTGCTTTTTATGTATTATTTCCATTCCTTACTATCACCTAATTTTTACAGATGAGATATCTGAAGTTCAAAAGCCACTTAATTTTCATCAACAGCAAACCCTGGATTTGAACCATAGTCAATCTGGCTCCAAAGTATATGGCCTTTTATATTATAACACAACTTCCCATGACAAATCCATAAAGTCAGATCCAAATCAAGGAAAATTTTCTGTTTTTGCTTTGGGTGGCGGTTACAGAGGTCTGTGTTTTATAATTATTCATTAAGCTGTATATATTTTAGCATATTTTTCTGTATTATATATGTTATGTTTCACAGACACACCCACACAAATGAGTCTATATATAAAAGGCTGGAAAGAAAAGGAAAAAAAAAAAGAGAGAAGTTGGCCACAAACAAGGGGCCCTAGGCCGGGCACAGTGGCTCACGCCTGTAATCTCCGCACTTTGGGAGGCCAAAGCAGGCGGATCACCTGAGGTCAAAAGTTCAAGACTAGCCTGGCCAACGTGGTGAAACCCCATCTCTACTAAAAATACAAAAATTAGCCACACGTATAATCCCAGCTACTCAAAGAGGCTGAGGCACGAGAATCGCTTGAACCCGGGGGGCGGACATTGCAGTGAGACAAGATTGCACCACTGCACGCTGCACTCTACCCTGGGTAACAGAGGGAGACTCTGTCTCCAAAAAAAAAAAGAAGTGGAGGGTCCTAAAGGTAGAAGTAGAGAAGACTTATTTATTTATTTATTTTTATCTATTTATTTTTTTGAGACAGAGTCTCACTCTGTCATCCAGGCTAGAGTGCAGGGGTGCCATCTTGGCTCACTGCAAGCTCCACCTCCCAGGTTCACACCATTCTCCTGCCTCAGCGTCCCAAGTAGCTGGGACTACAGGTGCCCGCCACCACACCCAGCTAATTTTTTTTTTTATTTTTCAGTAGAGATGGGGTTTCACCGTGTTAGCCAGAATGGTCTTGATCTCCTGACCTCGTGACCCCCCACCTCAGCCTCCCAAAGTGCTGGGATTACAGGTGTGAGCCATCGCGCCCGGCCGAATTTATTTTATTTTTGAGTCAGGGTTGCTCTATTACCCAGGCTGGAGTGCAATGGCACGATATTGGCTCATGGCAACCTCCACATTCCAGGCTCAGACGATCCTCCCACCTCAGCCTCCCAAGTAGATGGGACTACAGGCATGTGCCACAATGCCTGGCTAATTTTCGTGGGGTTTTTTGTTTGTTTGTTTGTTTTCCTTTTTCTTTTTTTGGTAGAGCTGGGATTTTGCCACATTGCCCAGGCTGGTCTCGAACTCCTGGACTCAAGCAATCCACCCACTCTGGCCTCCCAAAGTGCTGGGATTACAGGCCTGAGCTACCACCCCCGGCCAGAATTCATTTTTTTCAACAGCTAAAATAAAACTTACGTTTACTTAAATAAACACTGTTATAGAAAACAAACATGATAGTATTTTAAAAAGTGTTAAGGGCCTGGGGGTGGAGAATGGGAGAGGTTGTGGCACACAACGAAAGCAAATGGTATTTTTAAATACTAAAAACCCTTAGTGGCAACATTTATATACCACTATTCTTATCTAGCCAACTGAAAATTCCTTGGACAACATTTAGCAAAATATCCCAAGTTTCAGTCTAGATGCTCTTAAATGCAAAAAAAGCATTTGTTTTAATATATTTGGAGTTCAAACTTATATTCTCCCCAGTTAATCCAAATTAACGAAGTTTAAGGCACAGCACTGAGATATCACTAAACAAAAATGGAAATAGGACCAGTTCCTCAAAATATGCCACTGAGTTTTACTTCTTCTCTTCTGGGTAACTATAACCTGTCCCCTTATTCTTAATTTGCAGACAAAAAGTCTGACAACTTATCATGGATGAAGTTCTGTTAAAAGACAACACAGAGGATCAGTAATCAGGTGGAAGATTCCCAGGGTAAGAAAGAGCCACTTAGTTCTGGAAACCATTCACGTTGACTTAGTCACGAGGTTAATCTATATATAGACTCA